CTGGGCCCAGCTAGGTCGGGCTAGAAAGATGGGGACAGATGAACATCTTTCTCTAGATTCTTTGCCATTTTGAGAAAAACACAGATCTCAGCCTAAGAGAAGCTGAGACAAACTGGAGAGCATGGACTGAAGTAGTATAAATCTTAGCCTAAGGCCCCCTCTCTATGACTGTCTGTGTCTCTTCCTATGTCTCTTACTTTCATTTGCACATCCATCTGAGTGAATACTCTCTCCTTTTCCTTTTTACTCTTCTTTTTTTTAACCTCCTTTCCTTCTCACTTCATTTACGTTAATTAGACTATAAGCTTCATAAGGACAGTGACTACCTCTGCTACGCCCAGAGGTGGTTGTGGGCAGCTACTAACTGTTTCTTAAATGAATAAATAACTGCAATCTGAAGAGACCCTCTCTGCTTTCTCAAAGCAGGTGGACCCTCATTGGGCTCAAAAAAGGAAAAATTACATGTAAATGTAGGTTTTGAGCATGCTAGTATTACATTAAATAAACAATAATAACACACATTTCAGGACCAGAGAAATGACTCCAGGACAGAAAGTGAACAAGAGAGATGAGACATATATGAGAGCAGGGCAAGAACTATAAGAATCCACTTTAGATCTACTTTAGAGAAGCCAGTTCTAAGAAGTTTCATGAGCATCCAGACCAGGATACGTTTGCTACCCAGAGGCAGTTCAGTGATGAAAAGTTCCAAAAAGCCCAGCCCCTCAGGGAAGCTGCTTATGTGGTTGTGAGCACAGGAACTTGAGAGGCTGATTCAGGGAGATTCTGTTAGGGGAAGATAAGGGAAATGTTACAGCTCAGCAGAGAGGTAGGCTACACAGGGTATAGTCCTTCCAGAACTTGAGAATGAGGCCTGGACCAGACAGCAGGACTTGGCTAGAGCTGAGAGTCTTCTGGCTTCTTTCTCTTGGGCACAGATAAACAAAGGTGGAGATAAGAATTAAAACTGGAAGGGACTTTTAAAGTCAGAACATGGTGTTAAGCCAAGTAACAGCAGATGCAATAATATATACTCCAGTGATAAAATACATATAGTATATAAACACACATATATACACATATACACAGATGTATATGCATATGTATATTGTTTACTTCAGATTACAATCTAATATATGTGTGTGTGTGCCTATAAGGTATGTGTGCCATGTGTGTATCTGTGCTTACAGGCAGAGTGAAATCCCTGTCTCTTATGATAATGTAAGGATAAAAGAGGAGCAGCAGAAAGTATTCATGAGAAGAGGATGGAAAAGGATTATAAATTAACACCTGTTCTAGGCCTAGTAGGGCCTCTTAGGGAAGCCACCTAAGAGAATCAGGAGAGGCAAGGAGTGCTTCTAGGTGGAAGAAAGAAAAGGAAGAAGAAAAAGTGAAAGAGGAGAAAAAGAAGAAAAGGAGAAGGAGGATAAAAAGAGGAAGAGGAGGAGGAGACGAGGTACTAAATAGGAAGAATAGAGAAAGGAGGAAATAGGATACCTTTCTGCTCCTACGACCTCCAAGAAAGGAGAGAGAAAGAGACCAGAACCCTCAGGAGACTTTACGTTCTGATTACTACTTCTGTTCTAGTTAGGTTATATGTTCATAATAATTTCCCTTCCTTCTCCTCTATTCGTTCTCCCTGAGGGTTGAAGAAAACATTGATTCATTCAGCAAACATTTATTAAACATCTACTATATACTAGGTGCCGGAGATACAAAAACGGAAATGAAACAGTCCCTGCCCTCAAGGAGCTTACATTTTATTGGATGAGGAGTGGGGAGACAACATAAACCCAGGTGAGTAAAAACAAAATACATTCAAGGTGGGGGAGGGGAAGGCACTGGCAGGCTGGACCCCCTGTAGGAAGTGGAACTTTACCTGATCCTTGAGAAAAGCTGAAGACTCAGGAAAGTGAAGATGAGGAGGGAGTGCATTCCAGGAAGGAGAGGATCCCATTTGCAAAAAACATGGAGACAGGAGATGGAAAGTGGTATACATGAAACGTTAAGTGAGCTAGCTCTTACCCTTTGTGTTCCAAAATCTGAGGAGTAGTGGATATGGAATTCCCCCCAATTCAAATTTTAGAGGAACAAGTTAGCTTTGAATTGCAACAGAAAACCATCTCCTCAAACTAGTCATTATGACTTTAGGGCCACCTATTTTTATTCACAAAGACTAGCCCTACAGGGGTACGCTCTTATTCCAAACAGCTAAAAAGTACCTGAAAGTCCTCATGCACCCTACCTTTGTGATGTTTAGCTTCCTTGAGCTTCAGTTCCCTCATCTGTAAAATTAAGGGGTTGGATTAGATAGTGTCTAAGGTTTCTTCCAGCTCAGATCTACGGCCCTGTGATCACTGCAGTGTTGTCAGGGAAGGACAAGATGGCAGCCCCCGAACAGTAGGGAGCACTTTTACAAAGGCAGAAATGAAGGCCCAGGAGTATAGTGTGAGTCCAGTTTAGCTGGAACTCGGAATGTGTGGAGAGGAATAACATGAGATAAAATTGTAAAGAGTGAGTGGTGCCGCCAAATTGCTTGAGGGCCTTTGGGAGACAGGATGCAGTATCAAAGTTATAGTTTTTAGAAGAGAAAGTTTTGCAGCATAACACCAAGGAAATTTCTTTCTGGGAGTATTCTATTCTGTTTCGTCAGAGCACATACTGTGGGACAGCAGCAAGGGCTGCCTAGATGAAAAGAACTCTTTGGAAGTGGAAGAGGGGCGGGAGGTAGGAGTGCTCAGATGAGGTCAAGTATACAGATCAAGAAAATGCCACTCTCTCCTTGGGGTGCAGGAATTTGGACTAACACATTTGTCATTTCTTCATCCTGTGAGATAGCTACAGCTGTGGTTGGAAGAGAAGACTCTGGATCCACTTTTCATTCTGAGTACCATAGCATTGTTTCTTCCACTTCTAGGAGAAAAAAGGACCCCCAAACCTGCCTGCCTATGGCCTAAAATGGAAGGATACTTAAGCATCTGTGTGAGCAGAGCCAAGTCTCATAAGCTTTTTGGGCCTCAGCTTCTTCATCTGTAAAATGAGCAGGTTAGAGACGATGGCCTCTGAGTTCCTTTCCAGTTCTAAGTCTGGGAGCCTGCGTTCTTATGATGATAGGGGCCCCAAGGGGTGACAACAGTGATAGGACAGTGATCAGGAGAATTGACACCACCCCTGCAATGACCACTTGGAAAGTATAATGGACCTATTTTGATGACTATGTTATTTCTTTGATGTGGACAGCTCTTTCCATAAATACTCATCAAAAAGCTTCCATGCCTGAGAGAAATATATTTTGGGGCATACCTAACTTGGGGATTTATTTGCTGAACTATGCATGCTTTTGGTGAGGATTTTGTTTTTGTTTGTTTTGTTTTGATTCAATTGGGAGAGTACAAGGAGGGACAGAATATAAATGCATTTTAAAATGTTGCTGTTGTTTAGTCATTTTCAGTCATGTCCAACCCTTTGTGACCCCATTTGGGACTTTCTTGGTAGAGATACCAGAGTGGTTTGCTATTTCCTTTTTCAGCTCATTTTTTACAGATGAGGAAACTGAGGGAAACAGGGTGAAGTGACTTGCCCAGGGTCACACCACTGGTAAGTGTCTGATGCTAGATTTGAACTCGGGTCTTCCTGATTCCAGGCCCAGCACTCTATCTACTGTGCCAGCTAGCTACCCCACATTTAAAATTAAATATTTTTAAAGCTTCTATGCATGATGGATATTATCTTTCAATGTATTTATTTTTTCCCCAATTTAAAAAAAATTTTATTTAAAGTTTTGAGTTCTAAATTCTATCCCTTCCTCTCTCCCTCCTCTGACCCCTCTCTGAGACAGTAAGCAATCAGATATAGGTTATACATGTGAAATTATGTAAAATATTTCCATATTAGTTATTTTGTACAAGAAGACTCCAACAAAAGAAAAAAATGAAAGAAAGTGAAAAATAGCATGCTTCAGTCTTTATTCAATGAGTATCAGTTCTTTCTCTGGAAGTCGATAGTATGTTTCATCATTAGTCCTTTGGGATTGTCTTGGATCATTGCATTGCTGAGAATAGCTAAGTCACTCAGAGTTCAAACATCAAACAATAATGCTGCTACTATATATAACATTCTCCCAGTTCTGTTCACTTCACTATGCATCAGTTCATGTAAGTCTTTCCAGGTTTTTCTGAAGTAATCCTGCTTGTCATTTCTTATAGCAAGTAATATTCCATAACAATCATATACCACAGCTTGTTTAGCCATTACCCAATTTATGGGCATCCTTTGATTTCCAATTCTTGGCCACCACAAAAAAGCTGCTACAAATCGGTCCTTTCCCTCTCTCTATATATATTTTTGGGATATAGATCTAGCAGTGGTATTGCTAGATCAAAGGGTATGCACCCTTTTATAGCTCTTTAGGCATAGTCCCTAATTGCTCTCCAGGAAGGTTGGATTGGTTCACAACTCCACCAATAGTGCGTTACTATCTCAGTTTTCCCACAATCCCTCCAACATCCAACATTTTCCCTTTTTGTCATATTAGCCACTCTGGTACCTCAGGGTTGTTTCAATTTGCATTTCAATATACTTAGAGTTCATAATCATTTTGTTCACCTTCATCTTCCTCCTTATCATTTAAGAACTTTTGAGTCTCTGCTTTGTGTTTGGCACAGTACTTTGCACATATTCAGTCAGTCAATAAACATTTTTAAGTGCCTGCTATGAGCCAGGCACTGTGTTAAGCACTGGGGATACAAAGAAGGTGAAAGGTACCTTTTGTCATAGAGACTCCAGAAGATACTGAATCTAAATTAAAAGAATGAGGACAAGTATTCAACTCAGGGTTAGATCAAGCAATTCATAAGCTCATATTGCCTTCCCATATCTTTGCTCATATTTTTATCACACCTAAAGTCTTATTCCCATTCTTTCCCTATCTGAATCCTACTCACCCTTCAAAGTCCAACTCACATCCCATCTCCTCAACGTTCTCATACATTCCTGTTTACCTCCTTTTCCTCCTCAGAGCTTCAGCAACAAAAGTGCTTAATCAATGCTTCATTCATTCTTGCACATTGCCTCTTAAGACACCATTTCTGATGGCTGGATGCTAGGTATTGGCTGCAGAGATTTACTCCAGCATACTATTTCCTGCCTTCATCCTAAAACAGACAACCCAGATGCAGATAGACCTAAAGATTGGAGAAAGGAACAAGAGGGAATACACAGACAAGATTAACTATCTTCATTGTATACATAAGAGGCTTCCCTAACACACAGCCAATTAAAAAGGTAAACTAAGCTACCACTGGCTGCTGACAACCCTCCCGGGGCGCATCTGCACAGCTGTGTAATTGTGTTGGTGGGTATGGCTTCTCTGCAAGTGCCCTTAGATCTTTCACAAGTGCTTTTTTTCCTTTCACTCAATGTCCCCCAACAAGCCTCTGAGTTCCTAGGAGAAAAAGGCCATATTTCTTTCTTCTCCCGAGGCCTTCTCACAACACCCCAAATGGGACTATATACAAAGAGGACCCTCCTGACATGATACGGACCAACCGCCAAAGTGGGAATGGGCAGACCCTGCATGCAGTTCTCCTCTGGCCCTGCAGTTCCCTCCTTCCACACCTCCTCAGTCCCCTGCACGGTGCTCTGTATGAATCCTGTGTTCAGTCATTTGCCCTGGCTTTTTTTAAACCCTTAAAAAAATCCCTCCTACCCTCTCCCCACCCATCCCAACTCCCCTCCAATATCTGACCCTGTGAACTGGAACAATTTCTGAGGGAGAGAAGTCTTGTCCAGAATGCCTCTTACCCACCCTGCTCAGGAATGTGGTTGCTGCACATTAAAACAGACCTGCAGGCGTCTGAAATGAGCCTGTAGTCCATGCCAGCAATGACCTCACCCTGCACAGTGGGGCTTTCACCTATTGAAAGGGGCTGCTCTGCGCAGTATCACAATGGAACACCCCCTTTCGCTCTTCACGGATGGGGTGGGAGGAGTGTCCCTAGGTTGAGACCCAGCGGCAGCTGTTCACTTCTGGCTCATGCTGAAGGTCAGAGTGGTTAGTGCCTACCTCCTCTGCTGGAGATGGATGGAGTCATGGGCTCTTCATTCCAAATGGGGGACTCAGGGGAGAGAGTTTTACTATAACCTCTCTTCCCACTGTCCCACACCCTCTCCAGGGAGTCTATAGAGGCTAAGAGGGAATCGGTCTTCATTTCTTCTACAAGAAGAACCCCTGGCAGACTGGCCTACTCTCTTGGGTCTGGAAATAGAAGCTGGAATTCCTCACTTTGACAGCTGATTACTGTGTAGCTGAGTCCCTGTCTAGGTTTTAGGTCTTGCTCCAATTCAGTGCCTTTGCTGATTTCAAGAGTATCAAAGATTTGATGGAAACCCATCTCAGCTACAAGATTCCCCTCTCTTATTTGGGGAAATACAAGAATCCAGGGTTGCCCCAATTCCTGACCTTTCCTGTCTTAGGCTCTGAGTTCAATTGATGACTTTAAATATTTCCTCTGACTTTGTCTCTTTATATATGAGAGACAGGCAAGGGATTAGACTAAATGCTTCTGAGGTCCCTCCACTTCTATATAGTTCTGTGGAAAATAATGCACACTCATTTGCATTTCCTTGTATATCTCAACTGCATGTAAACAGAGCCAAAATGCAGACATACAATATGCCACTGGATCTGGACATTGCTCCTTTCCCCTTAATGCTCTAATTCCACTCCTTAGAGTCTGATATTTGTTGATGTTTGATCCTTTCAGTTGTGTCCGATACTTTGTGACCCCACTTGGGGTTTTCTTGGCAGATAAACTGGAGTGCTTTGCTTTTTCCTTCTCCAGCTCATTTTACAGATGAGGAAACTGGGGTAAATGAGGTTGACTGACTTGCCCAGGGTCACACAGTTAGTAAGAGTCTGAGGCCAGATTTGACTCAGAAAGATGAGTCTTCCTGACTCCAGGCTTGACGCTCTATCCACTGCACCACCAAGTTGTATGTTTCAGGTTAAATTGGAGGGTTTCTTGGAAGGACTTCCACTTTGACCAATCTGAACTGCTGCATTGCTGGTACCGTCTTGAACTGGGGGTAAGGAAAAGGGTTTTCCGGAGTTAATTTGCATTCCCTATTCCACAGAGGGCAAGAAACATAGCCCTCAGTGCTGCTACTTCCCCTACACACACACACACACACACACACACACACACACACACCCCTTACCATCCCTTCCCCATTCCAGTCTACAATACTACCTATCTTGCATCATCATCTTTATATAAGATTGAAAGTTCCTCCAGGGTCTTCTAGGCTATGTGAGTGGTCTAATGGAAAGAATTCTGTACTTTTAGAGAGAAGACTTAGGTCCTAGCCCCAACTTTGCTATGAACTAGGTAGGTGACTATGAACAATTCATTTAAGGCTGTTTCTAAGTCTGTGAAATGAGATTGCTGAACTAGATGATCCTCTGAGGTTCCACTCAGTACTAACAATCTATGCCTCTATGGATATCTTGGGACTCAGTGATATACAGTTCCCAGCACAGGGCTATGAACACGTTGGTGCCTTGCTGAGAACAAGATGATTGTGAGTTACACTGGCGGAAGCTGGTGCTCTTAGGGCCTGGGACAGCCTTGGGGGTCTTGCAGCTGCTCCCAGCTGTCCTGTCAGGAACAATGCAAAGCCTGTCAGGCCTTCCAAGCTGATCCCCTTTCTAGGGATGTGTTCGGGTTGCAGTGTTAATTGGAGGCATCTCAGCTGCTTCCCAAACCCTGCTTCCTGTTCCCAGCACTGACTTCTCCTAGAAGGCAATCATTCCGTCTGTGCATCTTTCTCTCAGGGAAAGATCTATGGGGAGGAATCAAGCTTTTGTATCATCTCTGAAGAGACAGACTTCTCAAAGGGGCCATTTGAAACATCTCCCTCTTCCTCACTGGCCCCCTGCCACCAGGCCATTCTACCCTTCCATCACCTTAGAAAAGTTAGGAGTGGGGGTGGTAGAGGCCCTATCTCATTCCAAAAAAATTCTCTACAGAAGGTGATTTCATAGCCTTTTGTGGCCACCTGTTCCAATCTTTAACCAACTTGTCAGGACTCTGTCCTTCTCCACCCTGGCCAATTCTCACACTCCATCCTAGTTTGAACTCTACTCCAGCCAAGCACATCCCTGCACTCTTCTCTCACCCAGGCTTCACCTGCCAGTCCTGAGCCATGACACATGCCATGCTGACCGAACTGGATTTCCCTCTCCTTGGTGCTTAGCCATTCACTGACAATCCAAGTCAGCTTACAAATTCTGTTCCACTTGTCCCTTCCCTGAAACCTTCTGTAACACTAGCTGATTCTAATTACTCTATTTATTCTTCATCCTTCTTTCTTAACACTATCCTGATAATCTCTTCACTAATGTAGCCAGTTGCACAATGTTTATCTGTTCCTATTACTTAGGGTTTTTTTTAAAACTCATATTAGTATCTTTCTTATCTACCCAGTTAAATTGGAACCTTCTCAAAGGTGGAGACATCTCTAATTTCCTAGATATCTCCCGACAATGCCTAGTAACAAGTTTCTCATGAGTCAATCAACATCATCATTTCCAAAACAAGTCACCAATATGGAATAAACCAGACTTTTTTTTTTGAGGCAGTCAGGGCTAAGTGACTTGCCTAGGGTCACACAGCTAGTAAATGTCAGAGTCTGGATTTGAACTCAAGTCCTCCTGACTCCAGGGTCAGAGCTCTATCCACTGTGCCACCTACCTGCCCCCATAAAACAGATATTTTTCAAGCAAACTCAGGAGTCCTAAATCATATATTAACAAAGTCTTTCTGGAAGAGAAATTATCTGAAATCACTTTTAAAGGAAGGGATTGATAGGAAGAAGAGGTTGTTTTAGGCATGAGGGGAAAGTTTGATTTGGATAAGCTGGGGCAACCTTCCCAAAATTGGCTGAGAAAATCCCTCAAATGCCAGGTCATTAGGCAGTATCTTGTCTCCTCTCTGCCACCTCCAACCTCGTCACCTGTCTCTTTAGTTCCCCTCTTAAAAAAAAAAAAAAACCAATACTCTACAACAAAACTGTACAAATTTCCACAAAGGCCACTGGGAAAATATATGCCTTGCAACTCACCTAAGTCCTCCATACTGACATTTCAAACCAAAGCACAGCACTTTACACATAGTAAGTGCTTAACAATTGCTTCATTCATTCATTTCCATCTGTGATGGGGTCCTGGTGTTAGAGCTTTGGTCAACAGCTAAGATACACACTACCCCAACCCCTCCAAGGGCTAATATAAGGAAGTGATGAAATGACTCATTCCAGAAATTAGAGAGACTAAGAATTCTCCAGAGTCGGGAAAGTAGCAAACTACTGCAAAATTCATCTTGATCCCTTTCCTTAGGACCTGGCACCTTTTGCTCCACCAAGATGTCTTTCCTGGAAAGAAGATCTCAGGATGAGTGCTTTTCAAAGGGAAACACAGATAAAGCAGAGAAGCTAGCTGCAGAATGGAGTCGGCAAAAGCAGGGTAAGAATTCAAATAGCAAGAAGAATATTGGCCATGGAGTCTATATACCTGAGTTTTGATCCCAGTTTTTCCAAGAACCACCTGGGTGACCTAGGTCAAGTTTCTGGGTCTCAGTTTCCTCTCCTATAAAGTGAGAGGGTTGGGACTAGATTATCCTTAACCCTTTGGCTGTAACATTTGGAAGGCTAACATGTGAATGAGGAACAATCCTTGTTTGATTAGGTCCTGGAAAGCCTCTGGAGCAACAGACACTTCAGAGTTCAGCTTGATAGAAGAAGCTACAAACTTCCCAACAATTACAGCTGTCCAGAAGAGGAATAGACTGCCTTAGGGGCCACCTCCCTCACTGGAAGTTTTCAAGCAGATACTGGATGACCACTTCTTAAGGATAGAAAAGAGGAGATTCTTGTTTTGATGTGGATTGGAACTAGAAGGGTTCTGAGATTTCTTCATACTTTGAGATTCTATCATTTTGTCCTAACTCTGAGCCAGACTCCATTCTCCTCCCCACCATCCTTTGCTTTCTCCCAAGTAGAGGGCTTCCTAATTCTGGGATTTTCTAGTTCCTTTAAGGGTCTTCCTGAATCCACATGAAAAACAAGTTGGAGCCGTGACTATAGGGGGAGCAGAATTTTACAGGCACTAGCATTTTCTTAAGGGCTCCCTTCTCACACATTCCTTTGCATTTTTCCTTTTATTAATGTGGCATCTTTCCCAGGCCACTTTATGGGGCTGTGTGTTTTCACTTATACATTGATTGGGTCTGATCCTGTCTTTCCCTATGAAGATCTGGTTCAACCCCAGCCCCCCCACCTCCATCCTGAAAGTGCCTTTCTGGAAGCTTTCAGCCCAAATGCTTCCATGGCAGTTAGAGGCTCTCCTCTGCTCCAGACCTCAAGGGCCAGGCTGCATAAAGGCTAAGATGAAGGACAGCCCTTCTGATCCAACTCTTTCGATCCAATCTCTCTCTGGTCCCTTCTCAGGACTGAGGATAGCCAATTCCACAATGAATTTTACAGAGACTATTCAAAATGACTCAAATCTGCCTTAGAAATTAATCAGAAAAAAACTTTTAAGATCAGAGATACAAGTTGAAAAGGACCTTAG